TATCAGTCCAATAAAGAAAAGTTATTAATGTTCCTATCTGTTTATCATTGACATACACTGAGAAACTGGGATCACATATGAATTTGCACAAACACCTCTTCTATGTTTCACACTCCATATGAAAAATCATCCTTACACCACCATAGTTTCAGAGCAGCTCTAAATAATGTTCTTGTAAGACGCTTCAATCAATGTCTATACTAACATTAGAGCATGAGTTAATGGGTTAAAAAGGACAAAATAAAAACTTAGGGGACGACCTACTTGAATTTTTTTTAAATGTCTCTCTAGGAAGGGTTTGCATATGCCATACAAGGATGTCTCCTGGATATAAGAACAGTTATACAGGCCCCTAGTGGCTTAGCAAATAGCAGCAGATGAGGGGATTCCGATTCTTAGTTCTCACTTTGAGATATTCTAGCTTTAAATGAACGTCAACCTTAAAAGGCAAATCAAATCACTGTATTTAATACTTAAAGTAGTTTCATGGTTATCGACTGAAATACATATATATTAAAATAGATCACTGCATTTCATTACTTTAGTAACTACAACTGCACTGGTCCACAAAGAATTTGTGTTATATAACCTCCACAATAAAATATTTAATTCATCCACCTCTTTACATGTCATTACAAAAGTAATATATTACTCATATATATTAAAACGTCTTCGAGAGACACTTTTCCTCTTTGAATCTCATTCCTATTACACTATTATTACCGAAGGCTTTATGAACAGATTATTTCTATGCAAAGTGCTCACTATTTAAAATGAAATATAGATACAAACTGAATGCCACTTTTACAATAGTAGAAGTCTAAATGTATTTCCTAATAACAGCCAGCGATAAAACTCACATTGGAGTGAATCTATTTTAAAAGATCTACAATTAACAACACCCCTTAATCCTCAACCCTTTGCTGTCTTTCCTTTACAAAAGAAAATTCCAGGCAGGCACATTTACAGCTTTTAGCAATTTTTAACTGGACACAATCTGACAGCTGAATTCATGAAACTGACCAGGTTGTCAATTTCACACTTTGAAAGTACAATAATAGCTGATAGCATGAGGGTGAATTTAAGAAATCTGTCACAGAACTGCTAGCTCCACTGAAAAGCAAAGTACAGTACATAATTATGGGAGGTGGGAGGTAGGGAAATTTTCTTTCTATTGTCCATTTAGGACATCTGTTTCAAGAATTCGGACATCAAGCCCTGAAAATTTATTCTCTCTTTACTATTTCAATAAAATAATATCCATCTGTGGCATATAACTGAATATGTTTTCAAAATAAGAGTAATATCTACTAGGCATTGTCCTGGATATCATCATATTACCGATATTACATAATTTTTAAGTTGGTATCATCTAAACATTCCTTTAAATCAGAATATTTCAAGTTTTGGTACATCACCCCGCTTTTACTCAAGTTGAGTAGTGGGTGTGTACACTTTGAAACACAGATGGAATAGCCAAAATGGTTAGAAGTGTCTACAGTTGGACTAACTCCCCATGTGTGCTACAGGATGGCTGGAAAGAGCACACCAAAGAGAAAGGTTCCCATTTGTAGCTCTGGAAGTCCAACAGCAAATCTATCTCAAGTCACAAGCAGTTACCAGTCTCTGAGAGGCTCAAAATGTGTTCCCTACGCTCTAAGTCCTGGCACTGTGTCTGTGGGCACGTAAAAGGAAAGAAAAAAAAAAACAACTTTAAGAGAAAATACAGGGAGAGCGACCCCTCAGGAATCTTCCCGGGGTGCTTCCTCTAGATTGGTCTGGGGGATCACTCTAAGAATTTTAGAAAACAGAGGAGACATTTGGCAAGTCGTGTACTGGGAGGCGAGCTGGAAACAATACAAGCGGATTGTGATATTCCGGGTTTTGGAGAATGGAACCACTATTCAGAACCCTGGAACACCCAATTAATGAAAGCCAAGCTCACAATTAGGGTTCAAGATTTTTTTAAAAGCATAAGAAAACTGACTTCATTTGTTAATGCTTCTAAATGCAAAGCAACCTCACAGATAAACAAGGCAAGTTTTCTACATGCCTATATAAAAACTACAATAAATCGATAGAAAAGCAAAGAACCTTTGGTTTACTAGTGGCTTTCCTTTTAAATTGTTTCCTACAACTTGGGCTTTTCATTGCAAATTCTGCGTTCCCTTCCCTACGGGATGAGTGTGTAGGAACAGCAGATTCCCGTAGCAGAACTACGAGCTCTGATTCTGCCATGGAAAGGTCTCCAAAACAATCCCCCTCCTCTATGGCAGCCGCGTAGACTTGATCCCTGCTGTTTTTCCTTCTCCCCACTAGTTCAGAGGAAAGAAAGAAAAAGAAATCGCCCCCTCACCACAACCAGCCCTCCTTAAACAGTGATCACTGCCTCTTAAAAAAATATATGCAGTGGCAGAATCTCGGGGTAGGGTCGGATTGCCCCACCGCTCCACATTTCCCCCAATACTACGCCCACCCCAGGAGGAGAGAGCGAGGGTCGCACAAATACACATATCCAAACACCCTCTTTCTCCAGAATTGCCACTCTCCCTGGTCCGAATCTTTAAGTGAGAAGCGACCCGCGCAGTGGAGGACCTCTGCCCAAGGAGCTTCAGAAGAGCAAACTGTGTGCGCTCCGGTGCCGGGGCGCTGGGCTCGCGGACGCGGGAGCGCGTAGCTCCGGCCCGAGAGGCGCGGGCTGCCGGAGCCGGGCTCAGGGAAAGCCCCAGGCGCGGAGACGGGAGGACACAGCGGGGCGGACCGGGTCAGCTCGGGGACTTACCTGGTCATGTTGGCTCCGGGCAGCCGCCGCCACCGCCTCCCGCGCCGCCACCAGCACTTTCCTCCAGCGCCTTCGCGCCCCGCCACGGCCGCGCAGCCCGCGCCTGCCCCAGCCGCCGCCTCCGGGCGGCCAATTTAATCCCGCGGAGCTGCGGCCGCCGCCGCCGAAGTCCCCTTGGTCGCTGCCGCCGCCCGGCCCTCGTGCGGCCAGCCCAGTCCACAGCGAGGAAGTGGAGGAGAGTCAGCGAGTGAGTCCAAAAACCCGAAATCCAGCATCCAAAGGAGCGCGTCCCCCCGCCCTCCCTCCACCCCTACCCCCTTCTCCTCCTCCTCCTCCGCCTCCTCCTCCTCGTCTTCCCGGGCCGTCCTCCTGGCCCTTCTGAGCCCGCGGCGTCCGCGGCGGTTTCTCCTCCTCCCGTTCCTCCTGCTCGCCCAGCGCTCGCTTCCCCGGCTGCCGCCGCCGCTGTGTGTCTCCTCTCCCTCCTCCTCCTGCTGCTCTGCCTCCTCCCGCTCCTCGATGCTCCGCCGCTCGCGGCTGGGGGGTCCGGGGCCGCGTCTCCTCTCCTGCCTCCGCCTCGCCTCTTTCCTCCTTCCTGCTGCTGCTGCTTTTAAAGAGGATTCTTTGGCCACAAATAGCAACTCGGCTGCCCCCCTCAGCGCCTCCCTCCCCTTCGTCTCTTCTTCCCCCCAAAAGTGAAGCGCACGCGAGAGGTAACCAGAAACTGAGGCCGGCGGGGGAAGAGGGGAGGCGGAGGAGAGGGGGCGAGGCGACGCTTGGAGACCGGCCCGAGAGGAGTCGAGGGCCAGGAGGTGGGATGGCCAGTCCAGCCCAGTCCTTGGGCCTGGCGTGAACCTGGTGGTTACGGTTGGAGGCGAGGTGGTTTGGTGGGGAAATTAAATGAAAAAGCTCGGGAAAGTGATTGGAAAAGCTTCTCTCTTTGTTTCCTTTCTGGGTGATTTCTAAAATCCTCGTAACGTGCTGGGGATCCCACGGAATCGCGGTGCCCCAGCGCTAGAGGATTGTGTGCGCGCGTTGCCAGCGCCGGAGTGGGAGTGTGGGCGCGCCGGGGCGCGGGGAGAGCCAGGCCCGCGGCGCCCGCTGGCGAATCGCTGAATCTGGACCACTGACCCGCTGAAAGGGCCGGAGAGCTGGACGAAGGAGGGGCAGGCAGGAGAGCTGGGCGAAGGAGGCGCACCACACACACACACACACACACACTCTCTCTCTCTCTCACAGAGGAGGGGGCGGGGTGACGTCACTCTCCAGCATTCATCCACTAGGCCAGAAAAGACCCCTTCTAACAAATTCACTCATCTGCTAAGAGATGCACACCCAGGCGCTTCCTGCTCTGCATCCCCGCGCACGGGAGAAAAAAATGCTGGTCGCGCCCCATTCCAAACAGTTATGATAACATAAAGAGCGCGCCTTGATGAGACAGTTTGTGTCCGCCCCAGTTCACCTTGGCAGCCTCATTCTGGGATGCTTGTAGGATCCACTTTGGAGTCAGAGAAGAAGAAAGGGAAATATCGAATTAATCAGTGTAATAACTCTTGTTTTGCTTCTATGCTACTTGCTTTTATGATGTTGGAAATGCAGTGTTCCCCCACTTCTCTGAAGGACACCATAAAACCCTCTCCCTAGACATGCGCTCAGTTGTTGGGCTACACAAGCTTCATCCACAGAACCCTTCATCCACAGCAGACACTGTGTGGATTGTTAGCTAAGAGGCGAATTTCAACCTTCTTCACTCCTCCTAGGAGTGGAAGAAGTCAGCGGCTGGAAGCCACCATTGGCAATTGGCCTATCAAAATTTTTTTTTGAAACTTGGTCAGAAAGGTTAAATAAAGGCAGGGCCTCCAGCCACCTCTCTCGCTCATTCTGTGTTCAGGCCAGCACATACGCACAATACTTATTCTTGCAGGCCCGAGGCTGTCTTTGAAAGAGCAAAGGTAAGCAGACCCCCTTAGATTCAGCCTAATGATCCCGCATCCTGACTGTTGTTTCAAGCTGCCCATTTGTTCCCACCATCTGCATGCTGTGCTCCTGAAAGGCACTGAAGGATTGGTCAGTAATCCTCTGCCCCCTGTGTGCTCCAAAAAGAAGTCATATATTTTTGAAAGGAGTCTTGCTAAATGAAGTTTAGTTTTCCAGCAATTTGAGGGGAGGGGGGAGGATCATCTTGGCATGACTCTTCCTTGTTCTTTTTTTTATGGTTAGGCTTACAGTGAAAATCAAGAAGAAATCTATTCCTGTGCGAGCCCCCAGAGCCAGGTTTACCCTCCAGTCTTTCTGATGACACAAGGAACTGAAAGGCTGAGCAGGTATGATGGATTCCTCCTCCCTGTGCCCTAAGGATGGATCCAAAAATCTGAGTCTCCATAGGTGATTCTCACTCAAGGTCTAAACTCTGAATTGGCTTTCTCATTGCCACCTTCTCCCCCATCAACTGAGTCTCATTTTCCTCTTGCAAAGTTGGATGTTAGAGGAACAGACAGAAAGTTTTTAAAACCCTAATATTCCTCTGCTGTTGTCTTTGGTGGAGAGACACACATCCCTCATTTAAGAAGATCTGACCAGATCTGACCTTATTTAAGAAGATCCCAGTAGGGAAGTGTGACTGCTATCTGGGAGCATCGTTGAGGAAATATCAACCTACCCCACTGGCAGCAAGTTAGCTAGAGAATTTAGCAGTGATCATTCCCAAGGTGAGCAACAAGCAGTGGAAATCAGAGGAGACGGAGGACAGTATAAGTAAATGACAGAAGCCCAAGGACCCAACATGACATCATGAGGCCCTAGACGTTCCTGTCCCACCGCAACCAAACATCTTGGAGAAAGAAGTAGCAGTCGAGGAGGTGACTAGAGAGTCTGAGCTATTATTGTACAAAAGAGATGGCATTATTCAGGGTGATGCTGTGGAGGAAGAGGAGATAAAGCAAACAAAGGAGACAGACTTTCTCTGCACATCTGAGTAGTGGTGGGAGTAGTGTTCTGCAGCCCAATATACACATATTAATGCTTTCAGAGCAGATTTATGACAAACCAGCGTCCCGTGGCACTCTAATACAACCTCTGGGATAGTTTGCCATTTGGAGATTTGAAGTCAAAGAACATCAGAGGGAGGCTATCCCAGATCTAGCTGGCTATCGACAGATCATCTGTTGAAATCACCTAATTTTATAGGTAAGGAAACTGAGACCCTGAGAGTTTAAGGTGACCCAATTATTTGGTGGCAGAAGCAGAACAAAAATCCAGATATGATCTAGTCTCCTCCTCCCCCCAGCTATTCCTAATTACCTCCCAGTTCTGGATCAAAGAAGCTGTTTTTCCAACTTATCGATGAGCAATAAATATAGAATATTGTAAAACTATACTTCCATGAAGGAAAATTAAGCAATGGAACTAGACTTTTTCTTACTTCCTCTCCAGCTCTGACATCTGTGATGAATAGCACACAGGAGCTTTGCTATAGCACAACCCTCTCTAGTGCATAATTCAACATCTGATGAGTATGAGTCTATTTTGGATCCCATCCAAGGGAGTTAGTTCCTAGAAGTACTCGAAAGATTTTACTCTCATCTATCATGAAGCATCCTAAAAAGAAGATTAAAAAGAATCATAATAATAATAGTAATCACTTGTTACACTTGTATTACGTACTAAACATCAGGCTATCTCACTGTGTTTCAAAAGGCACATCATGACCTTTTGTGGGTCATGAACAAATCTTTAAGCAAAAGAAATGAAAGTAGTATGCATGTAGTAAAGGAAAGAAGAGTGCATTATAGGTACTAAGTAGTTTTGTAAAACTTATGTTTCCATCATGTGGCTAGTGACTAAAAGAAAAAGTTTCAAAGATGCTGCCTCACCTCGAATCTTAAAAACTGCCCTGCTAGTTAAGTATTATTAGCCCTGTTGTTTAAGTGAGGAAACGGGAACAGAGAGGGTAAGTAATCTGACCAAGCTGACGTAGCTAGCAAGTGGCCAAGCTAGGATTTCGAACTTACATCTGTTTGACTTCAAATCTTGTGTTTTTACTTCTATTCTGATTATAAATTATTATTTAGGGAATTGAATAATTGTTGCTGATCGTATTTTCTTTGTGAGGGCTACAGTGGTTTGTATTAAATCCAGTTAGAATGGAGAAATCACAACCTAGGTTCAAGTGGCATACTCTGAAGATAGTGAACAGTGTCATAAAGCACTGAAATCAATATCTGAGACCTCTTCCTATAGGTGCTAGCTGTGCCTAAAATACTTCATTAATTCGCTGCTACACGCATAAATGGAATAATAAGGAATGGTTTTAATCCTCAAATAACTTAAATATTAATCTCTACAAGAGTTAAAATGTTTATTTCAGAGAGTTTTTCAAATTTAATTCATACAGCGTTTCTCCATAGCTTACTTCTTGTCCCCAACACAGAAGTGGCACGTGAGAAAGATAAATCAAATATATATAAACATAGTCCCTAAACTAAACAATACGTTATTTCATTTGAGAACACAAGATATCCACATATAAAGTAATCAGACTACACCATAATGCCACCTAAATTGCGAAGCAGAAAGGCAGACAGTCACTCAGGTGTCATGCTAATTTTTTGATTCATATAGTCCTTTGGATTCTACCAGTAACGCTGCAAGTTTAGGTGCTGCTGTTCCCATTCTTCAGATTTGAAAGCTCAAATTCAGAACTAGGAGGTGATTGAAATGATCATCTAATCTTGGTCTTTCTGATTCCACTATCTAAAGTCTCTTTACAAACAGATGGTCTTCCAGTAAACAAACAGGTAGGTAGAGATTCTGAGACATGCTATGCAAACATTCACACTTTTCTCCATATGGAAGAAATGCACTTTCTTTTTCTCCAGGATGACATTTCTTGTTGCTGTCAGGCAGCACTCTTCTCTTAAAAAAAAGAAATCTGCATCTTTCTCTGAAGAAAGGCCTAGAAAAGCCAGGCGTTCTACCCTGACTCTGTTCAGTTCGGCTGCTGCATTTCACCCTCACCTGCAGTGTGTAGAGGACGTTATGGTACGATGCTATTTTCCATTGGCTCTGCTACTGGAGATTACAGCATGCGACTGTGACAAATGGATATTCCCATTAAATTCTTTAGTAGAGTGGGGCATTCCATTAACCATTGGCACTATCCCAACCCAAGTGAAACATTGGGTCATTTTTTTCTTGTGAGCAAGAAGTGAAGGGGGAAAACAAAGGATATACTCTAATTACCTTTCCTATTTTTTTTTTGGTTGCAGGCATTATGATACCCATATATTACAATTATTTATAATTAATATATGACAAGCTGTCAGCTAAAATTTAACAGGTGATTTGTCAAGAAGTCCCATTAACTCATATATTAAGCAGTGGATTTCAGTATTTCCTAACAATAAAAGTGCGTTTTGGTTTTGTTGTTTTAAATCTATTGTGTTTAAATATTCAGAGGCCACTTATCTTTATATATTTGCAGCATCTTTTAAAAATACAACTATTGCTAACATAAATGGGTACTTTATTAGTAATGTAAGGAATAAGCACAATTTTTGTCACTTTAACCTTTAAATGCTAATGTTTTCACTGAGGAAACTAATCACCTAGTGTTTAAATTTTTAAACTTTTATGATTTTGTACACATTTTTCAAATGTTGTCTTTGGTAGTAAAGGCAAGCTGAATGGGGAGGAAAATAATTGCAGTTACTTATGTTCCATTTAGTGTTTGTATCTTACACTAGAGAATTTTTGAAATGAAGGAATATTTTAAAATACAGAAAAATTGAAGAAGTCACCAGAAAGCTAGTAATTAATCACTCAACAGAGGGGAAATCTACAGAGACCAAAAACTGGTGGAGCAGGCTTCCTTTTACTGAATGGCACAAGAATGGGGCACATGATGGAAATGAATCACAGATATTTCTTGGGAGGGATAACAAGATTCTTTAAAAGCAGAAAAGCTTGGTTTCAATATCTATAGAATGTCAATTTCATGGGACATAACCTGGAAATGACATTAAATTTTAAACTACAATTTTATTATTGGATCCATGGCCAAACAGAGTTCGTATTGTTTAAGAGAATGATAGAAAAGTAAGGCAACATTTGTTTAAAATTTCATTTGCACAAGGCTGGCTCTTATCTTTCAAGACTAGGACAGGCTGCAGGATGTTAATGACTCGAAATCAACTACTGTAGAGAGTGCTGAATCTCCTTAATGAAAGAATGTGCTTCAAGACTCAATGGTTAGGAAGAGAGAGAGAGAGAAAAAAAATGAGGGTAAATCGTGAAGCACAGCAGTTTTTCAAAGCTAATAAGACTTCTGTGTCCACCAACCAAGTTGAGTTTTCACATTTTTAGCAAGAAAGCCACACAGAGTCATGAAATTATTTTTCAAGCATCTTTCAAATAGGGTTTCAGAAAATGATTTTCAGAAACTCACTCAGAAGTGAAATACCAGAAGTTGATTTCTGTGTAACAGGGAGTATATCCCTTCACAGGCTGGGGATTATAAATGACCAGTGACAAGTGGGTCATTGTATCCTGGACTGGAATCTCAGTCACCAGATCTCACCTTGCTTCCCAGATGTAGCAATGTCCCCAAGCATAGGTGGGGATGTTTCTGCCTGCATTCAGGGACAGCTTTCAAAACAGGGAGCACAGCAAAGACATCAAGACTACTCTGTTTCAGCCACTTTTCAAACCTTTCTCTGTCTTTGTCTCATACTTTTATGCTTATCTTCTACTTCAGTTGTGTCACTTAACAATATCTACTGAATGTACATACTTTGTATAATGTTCTCTCTCAGCTGTTTGAGAACAGATTCATGTCTGACTGGAGCCAAAAGCTCTTCTCAGAGTGCTTTAAGCACTATAGGTACTCTAAATATTTGAGGAAGCAAAGGAAGAGGAGCATGGAGATAGGAAGAGAGAAAGAAGAAATGAGTTAGTTGTCAATTGCCCTTTTTATGTGAAATATCACTTTCTTTACAAAGCTTCCTGCAGTCCACTAAGGGGAATGAATCTGCCTTGCTTCTGGTCTCACATACTTTTCTTTTTCTTATTTCCTATCTATCTGCATTTTTCTTGCGTATATTTGTACTCTATTAAGCTCTGAGAATCTCCACACTCTTTATATCACCATCACTAAGCACAGAACCTGGACTATAGGCAGATCTCAAAAAATGTCTGCTGACTGAATCAATGGGTGATAACGTAGGTTTGATACCACTGTGGCTGGTCAGATGTCACCTTAATATTCCCTCTTATTGGGCCTGGGCTAAAAGGTACAGTGACACAGAGTTTGGTCAGAGTTAGGCCTCACTAATTAAAACACAACAAAATGTCACAGACAAGAAATAATAATAGAATCTGAACAGAAGTGGATGGATTCGTAGTTCCACAGAACTCTTAATGAGAGTAATTAAAAAGTTTCATGGTTTCCTATAAAATATCAACATAATTGATCAGTTTAGTAGAAAAGATCCTCCAACTTCTGATTGGTTCTGAAGTTTTCATTTTTAACTAGGTAGGTACACTGTATTAGGTGGACAGAGCATTCATCTGTCTGCAAATGTTTTTTTCTATATAATCATATCTATTCCAAATCATATATATTCCAAATCATCCTGATTTTCCAAACTCATTGGCCATATCTCTAAAATTACTAGTAACACTAAACAAGTCCAGCAGAAATTTAAAGAAACAAACCAGAAACTATTCTTTCCCACATGTACAATTACTTTAAATAGTCTATTCAAGTCAGTGCTTGTTTTATAAATATAGAAACACCATTCTTGCTTAGTTATCTGCTTTCAGTTCTTTAAGGTCACGTTTTCTCTCCTTCTCTCACCACCAAAAACCCATCTTTCCAGTACAAATGTCTCTACTGTTCTTTGGACAGTACAATAATAATCTTTTGTGTATTCTTCTGTTCTCAACCTTCTTCTGATTGGTCCCAATTCATTCCCCACTGTGCTGCCCAATTAACTTTAATAAAGTACAAGTTTGATTATGTAACTTCCAAGCTCAAAAAAACTCAGTGGTTTGTGATTACTGACCAAAGTCCAAACATTCTACCAGCATTCGGAGCCCACCACAAATGGAGTGCTGCCTGAATCCATTTTCCATTCTAAATTTCTACCCCTTTACTACCAAAACCCTCAACTCCAGAATTGTCTGAATAAAATTATGTATTTTTTTTAGCCAGAAAGTTTTACTAGGATCACCTGTATGTTGAATCGCACCCACCCTTTAAAGATCATCTCATCAAATATCTGTTTTATTTCTTCTGATTTTTGTACCCAGATATGAGTACTACTTCCTTTGAAACATCTGATTCTTTGAATCTGTCCTGTGCTAAATAAACATTCTACAGGTATAGGATGAAAGATCATAGAAAGCACTTACCGCCAAGATGTGTTCCATGACTAGTTTTATTGGTATAGATCCATTGATTGGAATAGTACCTTATAAATATGAGAATGCACTGGATGGAGTCAGTGGGAAATTATGCAAACTTATGTCTAATCACACCTTGGAAGTTCTTGTGACAGGTGACTATGTTTGGGAAGAGAACAAAGAAATTCCAAAGATTCTGAGTTAAGACCAATATGAAGAACAACAGATGATGGAAACTTTTCACAATTTCCTTCTTTCCTCTGTTTTTTTAAACTCAGCTATGCTCATTATCCATGTAAGGAGATGAATCAACCTGGGACTATTAACAACCTTTGACCTCAAGAAGCACAAAAGCAAATCAAGTCAGGCAGGTGTTTTTCTCTGCCTTCCGCTTGGCGAAGAAACCAGTGGTCAGACATCTAGAAGCAGTCCTGAAAAGGACACTTGACACCCTTGCTTTTTACTTTTTTCCCTCCATCAGAGGGACCTCCTGCCTGGAAAGTCTTAGGCTCTAGTAATTATCCTACTTTGTACCAGGTGGAGGTAAGAAGGAACAGGGTACCTGTATTATTTTTCTTTTCTAGTCCTGTACTGCCCCAAAACAGGCTGTGTTCTAAGACTGTGGATGTCAAAACTACTCAATTTGGTCAGTTCTAGGCTGGGTAAAGAAGAGATGAGAAATTAGAGCAAATGCTGAAAGCTATAATATTTTGTCTGTGATTCAGTCTTTCCTGTGCCATCCATAACACACCTGTCTTTTATTAAAGTTACATTTATACTTGTTCTTCTCATTCCCTCCCTGTGCCTCTGCCACAGGCCCAGCCTCATATGTGTTTCCAGATTGTAAAACTATAAAATCTTTAAGAGAAAGGGTGAATCTTAATCTGTGTGTCCCACATACACCTGCAGAATGTTCTGTAAAAAGAGTACACGATAGACTGCTGTTTAATTGAATTTTTCTGAAGTCTAGTGTTTTCTTTGAAATTAGTGGGAACTCTATAGGGCACAAGCACATCCCAATTTTCCCAGTTTAATATAGTCTCTCATATTTTCCCCAGGGAGTATACCTGCATTTATCAGATCACCAGTCCAAATGTTTGGACTGCCGAACTCCTGAAATGGTGGTTCACAACTCTGGCTGTACATTAGAATCACCTGGAAAACTTGTAAAACATTTGCCGAGGCCCCACTCATATGAGCTGATTTGGATTCTTTAAGAGTGGGGCTCTAGTATATTTTTTTAAAAGCTTCCCAAGTGATTCAAAGGTTTAGCCAAGGTGGAGGAACCTTGCTTTACAGCTCTAGGAAGCTCAGTTTGAAAATCACTAGACTAGATTATTTCTAAAGTATTTTCCAGCTCTAGGATTCTTTCTGAAAGTGCTTTTATTTTATAAGTGAAAAAGAAATGACCCTTTGACTGGATTCCATTTTTAAGTAGTAACTACAAATGAAACACAGCCCAAATTTTGTATACTAGTGTGGTATTTTTAGCATTTCTTGTTACTTAGTTTTCACCTACGCCCATTCATCCCACTGCTCATTCATTCAGGCCTCCACTGTGTGTGAGGTATGTCAACTATGCACTATTAAGTCATTCTAAGAATGTGTGCTGTGAGTAAGGCACACATATTAAGGAAAACCCTTTCATCCAAATACAATACAAACATCCCCTAATGATTTCCATTCCCTGTAGTCCAATTAAAAGAGGAAGCAATGCCATCAAACTAGCCTAAATTCCAGGCACCCCACCCCCAAATAAATCTGTGATTAAAATAAAGAAAGAAAGAAGGGATCAGAAAGATCAAAACCTCCTCCTTGGAAACAATTTGGAATTAAGTCTCGATGCCCGTCTGTTCCTTTCAGAGTTAAACCAAGAACAACAAATCTACTACTTCTGAGAGAGAAAGTGTTGCTCACAAATTTTGGCTAAAGGAATTCATTTTCTTGGAAGGGAAGTATTCTTGGTGAACTTGAATAATAGAAAACTATCAACTATGCAAAGTACATAACTACAACAGACTTCTCTCATTTCTCTGAGAGTTCCCAGCACAGTATCTCACAAATACGAGGAACACTATCCACACCATATTAGTTAAATATTAACATTTATGTGGCACTTTGGGGTTCACAGAGAACTTCAAGAGACTCATCTCTTTTAAGGCTCCTAATAATTTTGTGGATGGTAAAACACCCATTTTACAGATGACCCAGACCCTAGATGCTCTGAATCAGAACCTCTGGGCTACTTCCTGGGAGTCAGAATTTTTGGCAAGCTTTTCAGGTAATTCTGAAAACTGCTGTAATAACTCAATTCAAATCCACTGATTTGTTGTATTGTTCCTAGGATAATAACCCAGTATAGCTGAGCAGATTCTGGCATTTCCTAAGAGGCTAGTTGCCTTTTTCTAGGATTTGCCTCTTTCTTTCTTTCTTCCATAATTTTTAAAAGGAAAAAAAAAATCACAGGTGGCACTATTTTACCTAAATTAACAAGCTTTTTAATTCTGCTCTGCACAGCTGGCTTATTCTAGCAATTTGCCCTGCTATGAAGGAAGCTCCTAGCTTCTGGCACTGGTGGGGGAGCTTGAATCCTACCCACTCCCCTTCTGGCCATAACTGAAGTCTTAACAGCCTGTGTCGACCACAGCCCTTCTTTCAGCCAGCAGCTGTAATTACATGAAATTTACTGGACGTTGTAGCGCAAACACAGCTGCCTGCTGGGACATTTCAGTGGGCTTCAGCCTTCTATTTGGGAACCCACTAGTTCTAGCCATTATAGTCAGGGAGAGAATCAGTTGTGAGCTATTTGTGTTGGTGTGTGTCTTTCTCCTTCACTTTTAAAAAAGCGTTAAAAGTAAAAGATATGCTCTCAGCTAGCTAGCCCCTCCCCCCCAAATTATATTAGAACAGCATAATAGCTACCTTGGAATACCATCTCATATATAACTTGGGGGAAAAAAGTCAAATAGACCCCTCAATAAAACCTTCTTTAGAATAAAACTATGCATTTCAAGGGAGGAGACAAGGTTATTTTTACCTTATAATTACTCCTAAGCCATGCAGAGACTGGAGAGAAGAGGATTTTTATTTTATGTCTGGAATGCAATACACTTGACTGGAAACGAAGACGCAAGGGGGAAAAAAAAACCCTCAAAAATTAGAGGAAAAGAAAGTGTGTGTCAACCACCCCCATCCTCTTGATTCTCAAACTTTCCAAACTCTTTTGGTTTACCACCCCAACCTTAGTAATACCCTCTCGTTTAACAGCTCTCCAGCTGTTATGGTTACAGTTTCTGGGAAATTTGTATGTCAAAAGAAGAGAGGTTCCAAAGAGTTCGGCATTTTTCCTCTCTGGCAATAAAAAGCCATAAAGGTTCTAAGACACCGACATGAACATACACACACACGCGCGCACACACACACACAACACTCAATCGCTGTTTCCCTGGAGTTTACCACCCCATGACATGCTGGACCTTTTGGCCTTCAAGAAAACATTACGGGGAGGAGGGGACATGGAAATACGCAGGTCACCTGACATAAATGACCACTCTAGCTGCCTCAGAACTTTACCCTCTGTCCAGATGGTGCCTCCGTGTGAAAAGGATATTGGGAAAAAGGACAGAAGGCAGTTTGCCATATCTTTGGTTATCCAAAAGGGTAGGAGAGCTTTATACTTTTTACTTCCTGCCTGCTAAGAAGAAAAGGCTGCCATTCTATTTGGGACCACTATTTTGTCTTCTACCTTTTAAACTCTCAAATAAATACACACATTTCCGTGTTCATAATTAGCGTGTTGACAATGCCTGCTCCCTTGCTTTCAATTCCATTTATACAAATGTTCCCATCACTCTTTTTAAAAGCCCTGGGCACATGTTCAAAACGTACAACCCAAACAAATAAACTCCATAACCTAAGCCAAACCCACCAACAACTGGACACCCTTCCCATTTTGGAAGGCCAACCTGGAAGTTATCTAATTTCAGTCTATTCTGTGAGTCAAAGTTCACAGAGCTGAAAATGGAAGTTTTATGTTAGCACCTCATCACCAAAGTAATGTGGGACATACAAATAAGCCACAGAATCAGCAACTTAAGATTCAGTGGAGTAAATTTCACCTTGAGTGACATCCTTAGAAAACAGAACATTTAGGGAGGAGCAGAGTTGCTGCAGGGAACTTAAGAGTAGTGTTAAACTTTGGCAGAATTGATTATTTGCAAGTGCTAAGAAAGCATTTATATTTAGAAGTAGGTTCTTGATCTAATCCAGTGATTGACTTTTCATGGCCTTTGAAAGTAACTTTGATAGCAAAATTCCTGTCTGTCATTTACCCCTAAAGCTGACATGATCACAGCAGTGGAGCTGCTAGAAATGAAGCCATGATAAGAGTGAAAACTAGACCAATGGGAAGGACTCCAACATGTGGGAAAAAGATAGAATTTATGACAAATCAATTTTACTTTGGTACAGCAAAAAAAGGAATAGCTAAACAAAATTCAAATTTTGGTTCGAAATCTCTCCAATATGGAATGGGCAGAACTGCGCAAATGCATTGTTTGGAGTAATGAGGATCTTTGGCTGTGAAGCAGGCTGGCACCGTGGTGCTAAGGTACCACTGAGAAGAAATGTATCCTCTGCAAGATGGCAACCTGTGGAAGTCAGCAGCCATACAATCAATCAACAGCGAGGGCCAAAAGCTCTTGCTTCCATTTCTGACAGAACAAACTACTATAAAGTCAGCTCAGAGCCCCAAAAGAAACTGAAAAGTTTATAACAAGTGGTACCACCTGTGCTTGTGTCGCGGCCTAGCCAAAATAATTTCCTCTACTGGGTTTTCTAACTGTGGCGAAGGGTGAGGAATGTGACAGGAAGAATGTGGAGCGGAAGAAAGTTCCAACATGGAGCCTGCAGAGTGAGTGGATTATCATCCTCTGTGCGAGCAGAGAGATCAGCACATCTGCCTCTGTCTCCCTGACTGGAAAAACTGTGTGTGATATGATCGCCCAGCCCCTATCAAAAAGGCTCTGTCTTCAGGAAAACAAAGACTTTTCTGCTCAGTGTTGTTCTCTCACATGATTGGGTTTTCTTTTTAACAATGTTATATTATTAGAACCTTTGTAAGGCTCGGGATATGGAGGTTATATTAAAAACACAATAAAGAAAAGCAGCTTGTTTATACAAGCCAGTATTTTGACCATAATTATACTTTTCTCTGTCTTCTTGATGAATCAGGAAATTTTGAGCCAGGTGTCTGCACAAAGCATAAGAGAACAAGGATAAAATGGCAGAAGGTCCAAGATGTGACCTACATTTATGTAAATCTTGTGGACACAAAGTTCTGTTCTTCATCACTGACTTTAAAAAAAATCTATAATTCTTTCTTTTTTTTATCTTTAATTTTCATGAAAACCATCCAAGGACAGTCCAAATTTTTCAGAAAGAACAAATTTTTCAGTACAGGAGGCAGCATTTGCCAGTACAACAACAAGAAACCAGCCAAGTTGCTTTGGAGGAGTTAAGCAAGTACATTTCAATAAAGACCCAAACAAT